AATTATCCCGAGTGTATTTATTTCTAATTTTATCTCTTCATGTCCTTCCACTCATTCATCTCAACATTATCATCTCAGCCACACTCATTTTATGGGTATGTTGTTTCTTGGCCACCCAAAATTCCACCCCACAAAGTCAGGCAACATTGTACATTATGAGCTCAAGAATGATTGAAAGATAGCTCATCAATCCAAAACACGGGTCTTCAAGGTCCCATTTCAGTCACATGGTGAATTAAAATTCACCATGTTCTTGCCATTGCAATGAGATTTTAATAAAGAAATTTATAAATTGGATTTGCAGACCTCATTTCCAAAGTGACCATTAATATCGGATTTCGACTTGGGCTCGGCTGGTTGATTGCTGAGAACTGCAACACCACATGTCAAAGTTTGAAATTTTGAATCCTACAACTATGACTAAGAACAAGAACAGCTGAAATTAAGAGTATAAAAGTCACAGGAAGACAACTCTAGGTGGATAATCTGCCAAGCCTCTTCTACTACAGCTGAAGAAAATCACTTGGAGCCCTCAAAGTGGATCATCCCACATGCTTCTTCTCTAGACAGTGAAGGGATAGCAGATCTAAGGTTAAGACAACCACCCTTGCAAGAGATATTGACACCTAGTAAGGGGCCATGGCACGTCAACCTCACTGCGCATCTCTTTGATGTTTCCTCAACTACTAAAATGATTTACATAGAAAAAAAGGATTTGACAGAAGGGGTAAGTCATTGGACTAGACATGATAAGAGGCACATATTTCTGCCATGGAAGCCAAAGGCCGGGAAAGCTGTTTAAGCAAAAGCCTGTCATTCTAATTCCACGTCTGAATTCGACAAAATTGCCTAGTTTGATGAATATCAATCTCCAATAAGGACAGATGATTCGTCAACCGTTTATTCTCCCGGATATCTAAACACATCTAAGGATGGGAACAAGGAAAGAAGGTAAAATGCTTCTAATAGTAGGACTAATTCAAGGAAACAGGCAGCAGTAACCTACAACAGCAACCATAAGCTCTGTGAAATACAAAGACCGAACCAAGAACATGAAAATTCTCCCCCAAACATAAGAGATTCAGCAAGATGGAACCTTCTTTTTCTGTATTTTGAAAGCAAGTTGGTTTCAACTCCTGGGTTGACACCAAAGCAGGCCTCTAAGAAAAAAAAAAATGCCTAAGATAGTTCAAATGTCTAAGAGGGTGCTAAAGGCAGCAAAAAAGGAAAATCTCGCAGATTTTCATATTTGAAGAAACTGTATAGATGTTTTACTGCTTTGCTATATATGATGATGTGCATTTTGATTCATTGAGAATCCAGAATGCTAGTAACTGCAACATGGATTTATTGCTGCACAAAAATTGCAAGAATCCAATGCACATAATACTCATACAATAAATGAAGGAGAAACCAAGAATCCAGTAAAATTATACCGAGAAACTCACGAGTATTTGACCGTGGTACAGGTAGGAAATAGCAGGTTTATGAACTTGAGGTTTGAGATGTGTACTTTATCTCTATGTTTGGTTTAAATAAAGAACCTAAGATTAAAATAAAATAAAAGTTTGAAATATAATATTATACTGCGGCCATGTTTGATTTCAGGGAGGTTTTGGAAGTAGGAGTTGAATATCCTACTTCCATATTTGATTTCACAACGTGGAAGCCACTGCATGGAATTGTGGCATTTTTTTGGTGTCAAAAAAGTTCCCTTTTTGGAAAACTGCCCTTCCATCAGAAATGATGAAAGGGCGATCTTCCATAGTTGTGGAAGACTCCCTGCCACTACCAAAATCATCGGGCATCTAACATGCCCAAAAGAATCCAACATATAAAGAGAATAGTCAAATAAACTTGTACTCCACAATTCTCAAGAATCCTCTCTTTTGGAAGAGACTGCAGAGTCATGTCCACGTTGTAGCCATCCCAATGTCCAAGTGTGCCTAATACAAGTACGGCACCCAGGATGAAGAAACAAGGCAAGCCAAAAAAAATGTCGGGATTGTTCCAAAAACATCCTCAAGGAAGAAATGCCTTAACATGAAGGCTTGTTTATTTAGGCAAAACAATTATCTTAATTCACCAAAGTAGTTCATGTCATGAAATTTGCGTATGTGTGTGTGTTAATGGCCTTTAACTAGTAAAAAGCACAATTGCAATGGAAAATGCCACAATAAAATGAAGGCTAGTTCGTAATAGAGAACCAGACAATTTGATCATACAAAATGTCCAAAACTATGTGAAACCGTAGAAAACAAGCATTATATGCAACACACTTTTTGGGTGAATTGATGTATCAAAAGATCCATTCAACCATATGTGGTGACTTCCAAAAACAGGTTTATAACCTAGGGGTGCGCAAGCAGGACTCATTCTATCCAAAAACCATTAAAAGCCAGGGTATATATGATTCCCGTTAGTCGACTGCCAACTAACCACAAAAGCACAGGGTTGTCCGCTCCGATAGAAACCTGGTAAGATATACACTAGAAAACTACCATAAACATCAAAATATTGCAAGAAGGTCCCCAAATGATCACACACGGGCCAATTTTGAAGGATCCTCATATTCTGTGTGAGAAGACTTCACATATAAAGCAATGAGCTTTAGAATTGATTGCGATCCAAAGCGAACCCCCAAGATATGTTCCAAAAAATCAGGCAATTCTGACATCCGAAGACCAAGATATGTAAGCAACAATTTATGCAATTGATAGCATGAGTAGTAAACTGGCTAGCACAAAAAAGTACGTCGATTTACAATGAGACCCCTGGAGAAAATGTATCCAAAGGAGTCAGAACTTTGAGGGATGGTGGCGAAGTCCTCAAAAACCTTAATTTTAAAATTTGATGCCATTCCCATATCATTTGGTACTATTTTCAGAAGAACTTTAATATAGCATACGATTCATATGCTACTGCAGGTACCATTCACCATGGCAAAAAACAGCAAAAACAGCTTGAAAACCCCATGATTTCAGCCATTTCTCCCTATTTCCACAATGAAATTGGTTGAGTATTTTATATGGATCCCCAAAAGCTTCCAAGGGTAATATGTGATGTTTCCCCAAAATCACCATAACAAAATTGCGCTTTGGTTAATGACGCGATAAAAGTAAGTTATCTACCCATGGATTATCTAACTTTCTAATTATCCGCCCATGTTTCACTTCACTACCTCTTCAAGCCTCTATCCTTTTTCTCCAAACCTATAACCTCTCTCTAATGTTCTAACCCCTTGAAAAGGCCAAGGCTTGGGTCACAACTAATCCCAAAGCTCATGGATTTTATTCATGAGGTTCTCTAAAGTCAAAGATGAGGATCCTCGAAAATTGGCCCCGGTGTGTGATTGTTTGGGGCCTTCCCACGATCTATTGGCATTTCTGGCAGTTTTCCGGTCTATATGTTACCGGCTTCCAAGCAGAGCAGACAACCATGTGCTTTCGAAGTTGGCAGATTGTACTCTACTTGGAACCATTGTCTACCCTGCCTTTAAAGGGTTTTTCAGATAGAATGAAGTCCAGATTGCCCATCCCTAGATTTTAAGCCTACTTTTGGGAACAAGCCACTGGATATGGTTGAATGGATGCTTGCATATAGTAATGCACCCAAACAACGACTCCATTGTAAACAAAGCATATATTTTCCATACTACAAATAATATTTAAGTGTCTAGGTCGAGTGAAAATCAAGTCAACCAAACAAGCAAAGGGAAGTTTGCTCAAAGATGATAGAGGTTTTGTTCCTATGAAATACTCTGTCGAAGGCAGAGGAATTCCTATGTCATTCTAACATTTCATAGAGAAATGTATAACAATAATTTATCCATCAAAAAGTAAATACAGTACGATTGTAGCACTCAGATTGGTCCAAATTTGCAGTTCCATGCTAGTGCAGTCTCTCCAACCCTAACACTAAGAATGATAAAAGAGACACCATAACAAATGCCTATTCATGGATTTCTCTTCCAGTAATGTGTGACACAGTTGCTTGGGAACATAGAACCACAACCCAGTTTCTGTCTCAAGCAAATAAAGTCCAAATGGAGTTCATGGAAACATAGCATTCCTTACATTGTAAACAAAAACCATATAAGACTAAGTAATATGACAGCCGGGGTGGAATAGGTACTGCATAGATCCCAAAAGACGAATGTCAATCAAAAAGTAAAAAGTGGGCTGTCATTTGTTCTCCCATAACCTATAACCTTAATCAATGAAGAGTAGTAAAGTTGTTGAACTCAGTTTGGCCCGAATTTGCAGCTCCATGCCACTTCACATCCCAAAACCCAAGACTAAAAATGACAAAAGATACACTTTAACAACAATCCCATTCATGAAAATCTCTTCCAGTGACGTGCCACAGAGCTGATTAAGAACTAAGAACCACAACTATCCCACAAAACTCGCATACAAAACCATTTTCCAAAAGATAATCCATTGAGAGTCTAATAACTTTTCTTACCTGCTACCAGAGAGAATGGAGACTAATTTGAATTATTAATTAATTCCACATAAAGGAGACGTACAAAAAACTCAAAAGCATTAAGATAATATTCCTTTTCTAGCAAAAAAATGCAAAAAATGAATATGTTTTCAGCATTCCATTGACTCTCCAAAAAATAAAAATCATGCCACACTTCAACCACAAATCTAATTATAACACCTATCCTTATATCCTTATAACTAAGTATCAAAGATGATGATGATGATTATTCCAGGTATCAGAATTTTCACAATGTATATCTGAATAACCAGAGATGAGCAGAAACACAATTTGCACCAATGTCATTGCCTGTTGATAAGCATGCCAAACAAAACACCAAAAAGTTGAATTTAAAGGATAACATGGATGATAAACCGGACCAATCTTATCTTCATGAATAAGATTCTTTCAATGACATGGGTCTAGAAATGTTTTACAGTCAGTATTAAAAATAACAGCATTCCACAGGCTACAGAGAAAAGGAAAATTTAATCCCATATAGGAAGTGAATCAAAAAGCAAAGGATATTCAATTCTATAAAAGTAAAGTATGTTAAATTTCATTGAGCAAATGGTTCAAAAAGCAAAGAGACCTTAACTACATTAAAAGATCAACTTTCCATCAAGTTGTTTAAAGGCAGAAATGGTTCCAGTTGGTATGGAAAAGGCAGCATACCAACTGTTACAGGGTAGAAGTAATAAAGCATAAAACCTCATAATTCAAGCAATCTCATTTCCCAGAACCTCCAAAGAGGTAATTCAGAGAAGAGCCACCACCAGGAGCTGCATGGACTTTGGTAGTAGGCCGATCCTGCAATAAGACAAACAAATTATATACCCATAACATAATAAAGATTACATATGAGCTATGATATTTTCTAAAGAGAATTTCCCAGTCAAAAATCCGCAACAAAAAAATAAAAGAAATAAAAATTGCACAAAAACCACTATACCAGTAAAAGCGTATAAAACTAAGCACATCAAAAAGGTTTTTCCTACAGAGAAAATATTTGCCATCTTGTTCATGCATTATCAAAAAATCATTCAAGAATGGCTCAATAAACCAAAAAATTTTTGAGGAACCAGAAGAAACCTCGCATACCCACAAACAGCAAAGAATAATGTGTTATAGAAAGAGAAAGTATATCATCCTTGATCAAATGAGTTAACAAGTGCCTCACATAGTCCATAGGAAAATGAACTTTCTAAGAAAACTCCATAAAAGGCACACACGTTTAACAGTGCAAACTAAGCCAAGCTCTCCTTCAGTGTGTTATTAAATCATTCCAAAGTCCAAACTCGTCAAGAAAACAAAATTTGAAAATTTTCCAGCACAAGTCCTTAAACAAGCACCCAGTGGGATTATACAAGATATCTATCGAGAAATTAACAGAAACAAAAACAAAGGAGATGATAAATTGGGTTATTACAGTGATGAAATTTCCAGTGTTTTGACCCTCAGATCGCTGGTAGTTATTCATGTTTCTTGCCACGAATCCAGCTGGTGTATCATTAGGCTTCACAAGAGGAGGAGCTGGTTTTTGTCGTGGCTCTGCTGGGGTCTCTGTGTTTTGAGCAGGAGGTGCACTTGCAGGAGGTGCATTTGCAGGAGCAGGCCTTGCAGGTTCTGGTCCTCCACCAAAGAGATAACCCAATGAACTCTGACCACCCCCACTGCTGTTTCCTCTAACCATTTTTTATTCACAAAAAAACACTGGAGAAGGAAAACCAGGAAAAAAAAAAGGTCGGTGAATAATCTTATTTAAAGAAATTTAGGGTTAATTTAAGCAAACATGTTTGTCATCTTCCACTGTACAGACTGAAATTTCATCAGCCATGGTTGAAAGAAAGAGAAAACAAAGAAACTTAGAGAGAGTAAATTTCAGCAAAATTATCTTTACTATTTGGATTGAAAATCTTATCTGCCATGGTTGAAACAAAGACAGAGGGAAACAGAACAAAGATAGAGAAGGAAGGGGGGATCAATTTTTATCTTCCATTACATAACGGCTCATCAATCGTGTTTGAAAGAGATTTGAGACATATAAAAAGAGGGAGAAAGAAAGCTTAAGAAGTATTTACTTTTATCTCTAATTATTTGGAACTTAGAGACTCTTCATCCATGGTTTGAAAGAAAATATAACATATGAAATATGGCGAAGTTCATAAAATTTTATGTTTATCTTCCACTGTACATATTGAAAGGCTCATCCAGATCCTTAAAACAAAGGGAAACAGGGGAAGTAAAAGATAAAGAAAAACATTTCAAATTACAAAAGATCTCACTAATCCAAATAAAATCAGGTTTCTTGCTAAATAAACGTTGAAATAGGAAAACCCGAACAGAAACCCTGCACAACGAAATACTATCATCCAAATATGGAGAAATTTTAAGCGAAAGCCTTGTATATCTGCCATTATCAAGATTTAAGACCGAAGGTGCATCAGACATGGTTGAGAGGAAGGGAAACAATGAGAAAGGTATGTAAAATTTCAAAAGAAAAAGGATCTGATTAATCCAAAAACATGGCTCCTTTAAAAATGAAAAAGAAAATGTCAACTGCGAACGAAAGTGAATCACATATTCACATGTAGAAAATGAACTATCTAATAAGTCACATCTACAGAAAACGAAGGATTTAATGGAATTTTTTCCCATTCATGTCAATGTGATAGCGCCAGATCGCACTTAAAGCAAAAATTAACACACGGTTAAGCAAAAATAAGATCCAGCGAGGGAGACAGAGAAAGAAGTGATGTTAAATGAAAAGTGTAGACATAGAGAGAGAGAGAGATCACGAATACAGTGATAATATAAAAATGAAGAAGAAGAAGAGGACGAAGAAGGAGAGAGAGAGAGAGAGAGAAACAGAGGAATGATGGCACAATCTAGGCATCGGCAACCAGTTTCTGCCATTGAAAGAGATCAGCATCAAAAATGCCATGGAATGGGCAGAGAAGACCGATCCATTTCAGAAGTGGCAAGACAATCAGAAGAAGAGCTAAGAAAAACAAAGGAATCGGAATACAAATCGATGGTGAAGAAAAATGCCTGAAACATTTTCCCCCTACTCAGACATTGTGCAAGAGAGAGGAGTTAAGCAAAGAAGTGCCTGTTAAACCAAAGATGGTCGCAGACATTGTGCAAGAGAGAGGATAGATCGGAGAAAAATACCTGCCAACGATGTAAAGAAACCTGCAGAAGAAGAGAGAGAGAGAGAGGTAGATATATATAAAGCGAGAGTACCTGCAAGAGAGGGAGGGTTTGCCGGCAAACAATAAAATATTGCCGGAGAGAGAGGAGAGAGAGAGAGGACAAGAGGAGTTAGAAGAGGAAGCGAAATAAATTTAATGGAAGAGGGAGAGAGTGAGTTGTAACCACTTAATTTAGTTTTGCGGTGGAGTCCGGCACGGGCCTGCAAAAGTGAAGGTACTACGTACCACTTGGGGGGTCCCACCTGCTTCGCTCGCTTTACTTCCATTTCAAAATGCCGCACTTCTTTCTCCCTCCGCTCCCCTCCCCTCCCCCCTCCATGCAACTTTTCAAATTCCACACTTAAAACACGGTTTTGGTGAAATGGACGTCGACCCTTTCCCATTTTGGGAGCCCCTGTTTGGATTTGTAAGAATCTAAACTTTTTTTGATGGAGATTATTCTCAAATTCAAGTAATATTTCAATTTTAATTGATTCTTTAATTTAGCCCCAGATATTTCAAAATATTTTTATACCCGTTTGACCCTAGATGAGTGCTTGAACTTTGAACCAAATGTAGGAAAGGGGTCCATATTTTTTCAAAATAAAAAGTTAGTTTAAATATTTTCTTATATTAGGGGTTTCTAAAAGAATTTTAAAATTTTTCTCTTTTTTTATCTTTTCCTATAATGCCTTTAACTTGGAGTTATGAACTAACTTGGTTATTTTGCACGTGTGTTCTAGGTTTTTAACTCCGAGTTCCAAACATTTTTTAGGTAAAAACTCATATTATAAGTTGGAATTAGGCTCGTAACTCCAAGTTCCAAACATGTTTTAGGTTAAAAACTCAATTTAGAAGTTGTAATTTCGGTTTAAAGATTTTGACATAACTCCAAGCTCATAACCCTTTTTATTTGAATTTTAAGCAAATGGTCGATTTGAAACCCCAAGTTCCAAATTGCTTATTCTTATAATTTTTTTAGTGAAGGGTACCTCGGAGTTCCAAACCTATATTTTAACCAAAGATCTAGTTCAGAACACAAGTTTTGAACCAAAATTTTACCCCAAAAAATAGTTCAAAAATTTTGCCCAAAAAAATAATTCAGAAGCTGGAGTCCCAAACCTATAACAAAGGCAAAACAACAAATAAGCCAATTCAAAATTCCAAGATAGGACGTGAAAGTTTTTTTTCACAAGATATAAATAGAGAAAGCTTTCCATGTCCTCCCTACAATATAGAAGTTATATCCTCCCCCTACCATCCAACCGTCCATTTTTATCAAGAGAGTCACTCACCGTTTGATCTTAGATCTGACGTCTCAAAGTATTTTAATTTTAACTTTTTTAATACAATTTTTTTAATATGAAATTTGGTACGTACCATCTTCTCATTGGGGCGCACCTTAAGACGTGAGTTTTAAAACAGTTGCTCTTTCCCTCCCTCTTAGCAAATAAAATACCTTTTTATAGAAGAAAATGTTTATAAAAAAATAAAAAATTCTCTACCCTAATTCCAATATTTTTTTCTCTCTCTTTAAGATATTCTTTATTTGCCATTTTGCACTTAGAATATTGCTCTTCTTAATAAGATTGAACCATTGTTGACTGTTGTTTTGACCTACTATATTTGCTCAATATCAAGAGATCATGCGTCATTTATTTATTTATTTTTTCTCTTGTATCCTGTTGTGCGCCTCACTCACCTTTAATAGAAAGTTTCTTAGCTAGCAAGTAGATCCGTGCTTTGCAACGGTAATTAATGACCCCTTGTGCTGCTGAATTTTTAGAGAGGGAGAGTCAAAACTCCTCATATTTTAGAAAGATACACTCGGTATTATTACTGAAATTTTAGAGAGAGAGACAAAGAGACATATAACTCATGTCAATAATTTAATTTTATACTGTTATATTTTTTTTTGTATGCTTGGACTGTAATTTAGGGATATTTATACATATTCTATTTGAATAATAATTGTCATTGCATTGCATAATTATCATATGTCAAAGTCTTTTTAAGTAAGAAAATTTCATGCTCTTGATTTTGAGAATTCATTTTTGTGATGCCATATTTTTGTTGAAAATATCAAATATCATTGTAGACTCTCTATCCTGTGCTAAAACATATTCACATATTTATGAAAATTATTCTTATGGAAAATTTGACATAATGTAGTTTGTTGCCTTACTTTATTAATCTTTTGTTGCATCACAGCAGTGCGAACATAAACTGTTCAAGAAAACTTTTTTTTGAGGTTGCAGCTCACTGAGAGTCGGCAAACTGATTGATATAGCTAGCAGACAACTCTTTCTTAACACAATTAAATTTTTTGAAATTTTAGGTATTATCTAAAAATAATAATTTTAAATAGCATCTAGGCTAGCCATGTTAGAACTATCAAAACTTGAAAAATTCAATGGGACCAATTTTTCTATGTAGAAAATAAAAGAAAATTTGGATATATTCTTTTCCAAAATAGGGTAGATTATGTTCTAGATACAAAACCACCGGTTTTAGAACTTAATGTCAATGGTCAAGCCAGAAGACGATTTGACAAATAGTTAGAAGATGATAAAATAATTAGGAATACTATGTTAAGCTTTATGAAAGATGATTTAATTAGAGTCTTTAAGGATCACACCATAGCGCAAAGTATGATGGGTGCCCTATCTGAAAAGTATGGGACCACTTCTAAGACCCATGTACAATTGTTGTTAGAAAAATGCAATTATTGCATAATGAAAGAATCAAGCTCAGTGACCGAGCATGTCAATAAAATGACAGTGCTCACAAAGGACCTTGCTGCTGCTAGGAATCTAGCCTCTGATCGCATGCAAGTGTTTATTGTCCTAAACAGTCTCCCTTCATATTGGGAGTCCGTTGTAATTGCTTTAAAGAGGTACAAGGGATAACTATGTTGAATTTTCCCTTGCACCTCAGTATTGAAGCTGAGAGAAGAATTATGAAGAAGTCTAATGAGCTCCATTTTGCCCAAAGTTCATCTTCTCAGATTCCCAAGAAACCTTACAATAATCAAAATAATAATAAGTCTAAGGGAAATGGGAGAAATTTTAAAAATCAAAATAATAAGGTTGAGAAGACCTTTTTTATTATAAGGAAATTGAACATATCAAGTTTAATTGCCCTAAGCTGGAAAATAAAAATAAGAACCAGAAAAATAACCATGCTCGAAATAATCAAAATAAAATAAAAGACTTGATCTGCTTAGTCTTATAATCAATAGTTACTGACCATGACTTGAGAAATTGGTGGGTCGACTCAGCCTCCACTCGACATGTCTCGAGGACCAATGACGGATTTACAAAGTTGAAGGAGATTGTAGCCAGTAACCAGCGGATTTATATGGGAAATGACACCTATTAGTGATGTACTTGGTGTCAATACTTTCAAGTTGTGTTTACCAGGAGAAACAAATATCTTATTAACTGGTACTTTGTATGTGCCCAATATGAGGCGTAATTTGATTTTTGTTCATAGGATAGACGACAAGGGTTATGAAATAAGATTCAGGTCTGGTCGGGTTACCATTAGAAAGTATTCTAGAGCATTGGTGTATGGTACTAAAGTTGACAATTTGTACCAACTGAATATTAATGAAAGCTCATCATTTTCTGGTAATTTTGATGCCTCTTTTTATGCTTTTATTTGTATAGATGATCCATATTTATGGCACTTAAGATTATGATATATAAATAAAGATAATGAATCAAATGGTTAAAAGAGGCTTGCTCCCCAAATTTAAGAGAAACTATATTCAAAACATGCAAGCCATGTATTATAGTAAATTAACTAAGAAGCCTTTCTCTCAAAGGAAAAAGTCCAGTGAGTTACTTAGTATTGTTCACTCTGATATATGTGGCCCATTAAATATAAAAACATATAGAGGTATGAAATATTTCATAACGTTTATAGATGATTATTCACATTATGGATATATATACTTAATTAATAAGAAATCAGATACATTAGAAACTTTTAAAAAATATAAAGCTGAGGTTGAAAATCAGTTAGGTAGACATATTAAAATTCTTCGAACAGATAGAGGAGGTGAATATTACTCGGCATTATTTACCTAATTTTGTAAAGAGCATGGTATAATTCGCCAAACAACCATGACATATACGCCACAACAAAATGATGTAGCTAAAAGAAGAAATAGAACTCTAATGGACATAGTTAGGTCTATGATGAGCCATTCAAATTTATCACCTCAATACTGCAATATATATTATTAATCGTGTTCCAACTAAATCTATGGACTTGACTCTAAATGATGGACAGGTAGGGAACATGACCTTACTATTTTAAAAGTTTGGGATTCTTAGGCACATGTGCTTATACTACCACAAAATAGAGATAAATTACAAAGTAAAATTATAAAATGCTCTTTTATAAGTTATTCAAAAAATTTAATTGATATATATTCTATAACGATGATACTAGATCATTAGTACAGAGTCATGATGCTCATTTCTTAAAAAATATAGATGATTAAAATATTTTAAATAAACATATTGACTTATATGAAATTGATAAAAATAAGGGTCAGAAAGATCTTGTTTCTCATACTCTCTCTACATTTGGTGAGAATGATTCAATTGAATCAAGTATACCAGACATGCCTAAAAGAACTAGAGCCCCACCTACGACTTGAGAATAATTTTATGTATTTATGAATGAAGATAATTATTCTTCAATGAGTGATGATACAATAGATGACCATCAAAGCTACATTGAAGCTATTAACTCAGTTGAGTGGACTCAAGTCATAGATGATAAACTTGATTCTATTAAAAGAAATAAAGTTTGAGAGTTGGTTGACCTCCCCAACAAAAAAAGTCATTGATTGCAAATGGGTCATGAAGGAAAAACTTAATGCAGATGAATCCATTGATAAATATAATGCTAGGTTGGTAGCAAAAGGATTCACCCAAAGGGATATTATAGATATGTAGAGATTTATTCTCCAGTAACAGAGTTTTCATCTATTAGGATCATCCTAGCATTAGTTGCATATTATAATATGTAATTATTTCAGATGGATGTCAAAACATCTTTCTTAAATGGAGAATTAAAAGAATATATATATATATATATATGAAACAACTAGAAGGACATGCAATTAAATGACAAGAAGACAAAGTAT